CTACCCACACCAACAGATACCTACACTTCCAATATATACAGAGAGCCTACCCACACCAACAGATACCTACACTTCCAATATATACAGAGAGCCTACCCACACGGACAGATAACTACACTTCCAGTTTATCCAGAGAGCCTACCCACACTTTTTGGAATCAGTGGTCTCTGATCATTGGTTCCATCTCTGTCAGAAAAATAATTTTTATTTGTTACTTATTTCTTTCATGTAGCGTGAAACAATTTTTCTAAAACTTACTATTTATTTAAGATAATTTTCCATAGTGTTTGTATAAATCAAATAGCTTAACATCTCTTTTTCAATCAGTTTCCAGGTGTCACCTTTATTTTACTTAAATACTTAAGTATAGTTTTATTTATTTCTTTTTTAACCATTTCTAAAGCCAATTATTCCTAACACTTTTATACATAACGCCCTCATCGCCAGCTACATTGTACCAGAAATGGAACACACTTATAATAGTACATGGAAAAATATATTAAACATTTTCTGGAAGACCAGATGACCTTCATGACATCACTCATTCAATTACAACACCATTCCCAGTTTGTCCCTGAAGAAGAAAGTTCCACCTTACTCTTTGAGGTAGCAAGTCAAGTCAGAAAGAATCATTCAATGTAAATCACTTCTAAAATACTTTCATTAAGTCCAACAGTGAGCACATTCAATCAAGTGGGGGTGAAAAGAACTCCAAGTTACTGACAACTCCTGGTTTTAAACCAAAATATCTACCTAGAAGATGGCACAGATTGACCCAAAGCTGAAAGATATTTGAAATGTCATCCTCTATACTTGATCTGGATAGATTTTCTACAAATGTTTCTCTAATAGGAAGTAGCCATTCATTTTACAGTCATTTCAATATGAATACTCTGCTTAAACTATGTATCAAGAAATTTAATGTATAATTACATGGTAAACAGTCTACTTCTTAAACATCAAGACACTTACATTCTTACTAGATTTTAATACAAAATTTACAGGATGTTTAACAGTCTAATTTCTTTCCATATCTCACCAAACAGATACTTAGATACAGTTCAGAACATATGGTAAACAACAAACAGTGAACTCCCAACAGGAACAATGTTTATTAGAAAAAAAAGATCATTGAAATTAATGATTATCCTTCTTGTATTGTGGATTAATTATTTTTAAACATTTTCTCAACCTTTTAACATTCTGCAGACTTTTACAAAAGTTAAAGACACAACAACACTTACCACAATTAACTTCATCAGAAAAATCAAAACAGTCAACTCTTCCATCACAACGCTTTCGCCCATCAATGCATGACCCATCTTTACATGTAAAATGGCCAGGAAGACATGCAACCTCTAAAGCATGCAGAGCAGTTAGGTCATTAGAAAGAAAAGTACTGATAGAAAAACAGAGAGAGGTAAATAATTATTTGTTATACAGAAATTAAAAAAGCTTTTATCTGAAAAAAGAAAGTATGATAATTCCTCTGACAAAGTAGGTAGAACCCAAATTTCCTGAATACCTAGAACCATGCAGAGTAAAGTTATTAAACATGTTAGATTTTAAATTCTCAAGTTTCAATGTACTAAAATAGTGTTGATTTCAATGTGTAAACACCTACCACAATTTTGTTCATCAGAATAATCTCTGCAATCATATCGTCCATCACATTTTTGTCTTTTGTCGATACATGTTCCATCACCACACGTGAACTGATCTTCTCGACAATCTTCAACTAAACAAGACATAAATCGCACATCAGTTTACAAACTTAATCTTTAAATATTACTTTTCTTTGGGTAAGCTTTTTAGTATATCAGAAAATAGCATTAAAAATAAAAATAAGAAGTGTGACCTATTTTTTAAAGTAACTACAAATATAATTTCTAGAAACTAACTTTCCAGACATTTATAAAAATATCTTTCATATAATATGTTCTTTGAAAAAAAACATTTTCATATAGGATCTTAAAGGTTTTTAAAATACCCCTCAATGGAGCATGTTAACAAACTTTTTAATAGTTACATTCAAAATTTCATTAACTTTTGCTGCTGGGTTGGGGGATTACACTGATCACACAACCCTAACATAACCAATGGAGTTTCCATACTATAACTTTTAACAGGTGTTGTGCATATTCCCAAAATTCTAAGCTTTTAGTACACTAAGTCTTTTGTGGACAAATAAACGGAATGTTTCTAAACATTTGTTAGTGAATATACAGTCAGTGTTGACTGCTCCAAATGCAAAATGATTTTCATGTTAACATTAAAAATACTTTTATTCATCTGAAAAAGATTAAGTATCATCTGCATAATCTCTAAACCTCATAAATAAATAAACATTTTCTTTCTAAAACTTTGTATTTTTTTCTGTTATTTTCTTAACCCTAACTATACAGGATAAATCAATTTGACTGACCTCATAACCATCATAAAACTTTAATGGTTTAAAAATGCAAAATAAAGTAAACAGTATTGTTCTATCCTCTTTAGTATTGACCACAAAGTTCCAAAGTACTTCCTTCTAACTGTTTCTAACTGTAACATCTATACCCTACGTTTATTTGACTGTTAGCAGTTGAAGAAGAAACCTGCCAATCTTTAGTATTGACCAAAGTTCTAAAGTTTCTTGTTCTAACTGTTTCTAACTGTAACATCTATTTCCTATGTTTATTTGACTGTTAGCAGTTGAAGAAGAAACCTGCCAATCATAAAGCAATCATTCACTGCTCCTCTAATTAGACTGTTTACATGACACTGTAATGACACCATCAGTGGCAAATAAGATTGTGCAGTGCAATTAAAAGAATTTTCTGACAGTTTATTGTAATCCCGGATCCAAAAACACAGTGAAAGAGGATTTATCAGCCTGTTTATATTACAATGGTTGCAACAATAATTGTCTAAAGTAATAAAAGTGTGACAAAATATATATGATATGGCTCTGTATAAAGTCCGGGTCAATCCAACAAACCTGGTAGGTATTTGTTGTTGGTTATTCTCCCAGGGTGGTTGGAATTCAGCAGTATAGGTGTACAAAGTGTGCATGTGTGTGTAATTACTACTTACTTATAAACGTTTAATATATAGAAAAAACATACATGAAATTGATTTTTACTCATGTATCATACTTGTTAAGCTTCACCGAAAGTCACACTTATTCCCTCATGTGGATTGGGAAGACAAATTAATTTTTGTAGATTTTAAAGATGCACTTCAGAAAACCAAATAGTTATCTAATTACTATACAGGTGCACATAAAACCACTGTAATTTACCTGACTTTCTAACTAAACTAAATGGGGATTTAAACAAATCTTGTTTCTGTTCAGAGCAATGATTAAGTCAACAGACTTCAATATTTCCAGTAAAACTGCAGCTTTCTTTTTAAACCAATTACAAAAGACTGTCAGATTTATGTAGTTTGAAATGTGCTCTTTCTGTTGGTTACAAACATGTTCTTAAGAGAAGCAGGCATTAGTAGAGAAGAGGTTTCAAAGGATAGAGTAGTGGGTGAGGATATCCTCATAGGTTTACAAAATAAAAGAATTACGTCTGAAGAATTTTTAACTCGTTAACCACCGTAGATGTTGTATGATAAGCATAATGAAATATATACTTAGCAATACTTTATTTTTTAAGCATTTTCTTTCAAATTAAGAAATTGAAACATATACTGGGATGAAAT